TCTAGTGTTTCACAGGGTAAAAGGAGCATCTGGAGCCTGGTATCTCCTTAGTCCTTGCCTGCCTTTGAGTGCTGCAACAGTGTGGGGAGTACCTCCAGGGTGGGGAAGGCAGCTCAGGGATCAGCCCACATCAACCTTATGCTGGCAAGGATCTGGCTGACAGAGGGCCCCTGAGGGCCAGCTGGCCTTCTGATGAGAGGCTGGCACCCAGGGAGCTGGGCAGAGACCCCCATGCTGGGCTCTCACATAGGCTCGAGCTGGGCATTGCTCTAAGGGATGAGGAGGGTTGAGGTCCACATCCTGCCACCTGCCCCATGCGAGGCTCTGCATGCTTCGATACCCGCCACTGATCCCTTGGCTACAATCACACAACATGTAATTATCTCGCAGGGTTAAGTTTAGGATTTTGAAGAGGGGATAAAAGACAGAGAAAGAGCCCAATTGGCTTGAGAGCAAATGAAAATATTCTGGAGGATAAACTATCCTGCATCAGTGAGAGCCAGCAACAGAGACATGTTCCCAGGCCAGCTCAGGGCATGACCATAGCACTGTGATTGTCTTTATCTGAAATGCATGGATCCAGTCCCCATTTGGGATGAGCACAGGGCTGCTAGGTATGGAGGGAACCCAATGACCTGCACTTCCTTCCCTGTGCAGAGGGCCCGGAGAGCAGTCCTGCCTCCCGAGGAGGGCTCAGCCGCTGGTCCCCTGCCCCCTTACGTTGGCAATAAGGAAGGTATGTTGTGGGGGAAGGTGGGCTGCATTAGCCCTCAACAGCAGGCATCCCCCTGCCCCATGCCATCGCTCAGTAGCTGCATTGTTTCCCTGCAACAACTCATGTCCTGCTCATCCACAGATTCCTGCAGGCTGAATAGAGACTCTGGGCCCTGCAGTGGGATGCTCACCCGCTTCTTCTACAATTCATCCTCCATGGCCTGTGAAACCTTCCTCTATGGCGGCTGCCTGGGCAATGGCAACAACTTCTACTCAGAGAAGGAGTGCCTGCAGGCCTGCAGGACAGAGGGTGAGTGGGATAGTCTGGCAGCACGCTCCCTGGCCAGCCGCAAGAGCTCAGGGCTTGGGGCTCGGGGGAGCAAAGCCAGCCTAGAGGGAGATGGGGAAGGAGAGTGTGGAGGATAGAATCACAGAATCACAGAATGGTTGAGGTTGGAAGGGACCTCTGGAGATCATCTAGTCCAACCTCCCTGCTCAAGCAAGGTCAAAGCGTCCCACCAGGGACATCCTGGTGGGCTGAGGGCATCATGGAGAGAAGGTGCAGGAAGTGCCTTTGCAGAGGCAGCAGAGGGAATTGGGGGCATCTGAGAATGGTCTTGCCCAACATCTGTGTGGGAGGTACTGGTGTGCACCTGGGGTCAGCACAGCACCCTGGGCCTGAGCCCCTGGGACCTGGCCTGCCCTCAGAGCTGCCCTGTGTCCCTGCAGCTGCCTGCAGGCTGCCCATCGTCCAGGGTCCCTGCCAGAAGCTGGTGATACGCTGGGCATTCGACGCAGCCCAGGGCAAGTGCATCACTTTTAACTACGGAGGCTGCAAGGGCAACGGGAACCAGTTCTACTCGGAGAAGGAGTGCAAGGAGTACTGTGGAGCTCCCCCGCTGGGAGGTATGGGCCAACCTGCCCACACGGCACCATCTCTCCCCTCCATACCACCGCTGTCATGCTTGCAGGAAACCAGGGCAGCAGCCGGGGGGACCTGCTTGCAGCACCTCTGGTCATGCTCTCCTCTGGGTCTGGGTGTGCTGGGTCTGCCTGGGTGTGGGACAGATCAATCCAGGGTCTGGGATGGGTCCATTCTGGGTCTGGGACAGGTCCTGGGTCTGGGATGGGTCTATCCTGGGCCTGGGATGCATCTGGAACAGGTCTATCCTGAATACAGAATGGGTTTGTCCTGAGTCTGGAATGGATCTGGGATGGATCTGTCCTGGGTCTAGGATTGGTCTGTCCTCAGTCCAGGATGGGTATGGGATGGGTTTGTACTGCATCTGGGATGAGTCCATCCCGGGTCTGAGACTCTGATGGACTGAGGAATACAATCATTTTTCTGCAGACAGTATCAAGTAGGGGGATTATAGAGGCTGCAGAGTTGCTGAGACCAGGTTTGGACTTCAAAATATCTTGATGAAAGGGTTCTGAGCAGGCTTCAGTGCAGCAGGGAGCACTGAAGCAACAGCCTCTTTGCAGGGGATACCCAGCATAGCACAGGGAGAGAAGAGCAGCTGAAAGATTTGGCAGGGTTGGAGAACCTCACAACAAATGAGCACCAAACTGGGGTCTCAGTTTGGGGTTTACCCTCCATGCGATGCTCGCTGGACCCTTCTGCTCTAGTTGGTACAGGGACTTCCATGTCAGAGCCTTCTGAGAAGTGGTAGAGTGAAGTGCTGGGGAGCAAGGCCAGGGCAGACATGGAGTCTCCATCACTGGGGGATTTCCAGAACGGGAATCTATCAGGACGGTTGCTCCTGCTGGGGGATGTTAATGCATCCCCTTGCCCCACCAAGCCCAGCCCAGCCCATGCACCCAGTGGCTGCCCTGCCTCAGTGTCAGCATACATGGCCCCTTCGCACCTCAAACCCATCCGCCTGTGTCCACCTGAGGAGACACAGTCCTCCAGAGCCCATGGTAACAGACACTGTTCGGTGCTCAGGACAGATGGAGGAGCAGTCAAATTTTCCTGAGTGTAGCAGCGGAAATCTTAGTGCAGAGAGGGGTGACCACAGGGATGTCTGATCATGGCCAACCCCAGCTGAACCTGCTCCCAGTATGCCAAGTATCCTGGAGCTCGGAAGGCTGCAGCACACCTCTGAGCTGAGCTCCCATGTGGGGCTGCTCCCCTCTGTGTCAGGCACTGCCTCAGGGCCACTGTGCCCCACTGCAGGGGCTGCATGAGCATCGATGGGGGCCAGGAGCCCAACACCCTCAAGTGCAAGGGGGTGCATGGAAGGTCCCTACTGCTTCCCAACCATCCCTGATGGCAGGGACAAAGTGAGCAGCACACCATGGGGTCCACAGGTCTGGCTGTCACACCATGCACTTCTCTTCTTGCAGAGGAAGAGGAGTTTCTGCATTTGTCGAACTGATGCGGGGCAGAGGACGAGCTGCCTGCACCCAGCGCAGGAGCCCTGGCCACGCAGGAAGGCGCTGGGAGCAGCCCTGGTGCGTCGCCTGCACAGCCACGGCCCTGGCCAAGCAGTAAATGTCTCTAACGTGACTAATGAGCCCAGCGTGTCCATCCGGAACCTGCAGAGGTGCAGGGAGGGGTGGGGGTGGGAGTTCCAGGAGGGTCTAGGTGATGCTGTTGAATCCTCATTGACTTCCCCTACTGGGTACCCCCATCCTGTCAGGGCTGCTGGCTGACCCGCACTGAGCCTCTGCCTCCTGCCCCTTTCTCGGTGCTGGGGTAGCCAACGTGTGCCGGAGGGGGCTCAGGGCTTCCTGCTGGATGGGCTTCAGCCCCCCCGTCTCCCAGGGGCTGATGACAGGCAGCTGGGAAGGGGGCAGCGGGCACCTCCCTACAGGCAAATAGTTCATATGGCAGCACAGCAGCAGCAGCAGGAAGGGCCCAGCGGGACTGCAAGCCCCCCGCAGCTGGCACTGTTGCTCCCTCAGTCTCACTCCTGCCAGCAGGATGCTGGCGAGCATCCCGGAGGACAGATGCAGGGAGCATGCCGCCAGCCAGGAGCACAGCAAGGGAACTAGCTGGAGCCAGGCTATCCTGCTCCTCCCCAGGGCGCCCTGCTCCATGCTGCCCCAGGTCCTGGGCAGGTTATGATCTCATGGGAACTGCAGGCGGTACCCAAGGTGCCCCTTTGCCCAGGGGATCCTTGCAAGCCCAGGGCAGTGCCAGCACTCGCTGCCAGCCTCCTCGCTCGGGGTGCTGATCTTAGTGATGTTCAGTCCCAGGTCAGCATTGGGCGAAGTCCCCAAGCCATGTCATCGGGGCATCGGTACCTCTGCCCTACACCCAGGGCCCTGGGTCCTTATTGGGGGCTGCACCCTCGAGACCAGGTCCCAAGGACCCGGGGCACGCACAGAGGGAAGCTCCGGGCCCTAGGGTGCTCACAAAGTCGAGCGCCCCGGTGGGGGCTGCTGTCCCCTTTTACCCTCCGATCCTGCCGTGTCCCCCCACATCACG